ATTCCTGCTTGGTTCTATTACCCACAGGCTCATAATTAAAAGGGAATACATACACCTTTGGGTTTTGAGACCATCATTAAGACTTGGGTGAGCAACAATTAGCAGACAACCAACTGGAAACCCTGGATTAAAGCTGATCCTTTGCTCTACAGATTATCAGGGAGTGGCTGTGGGTTCCATAGAAAGGAAACAGAGCTGGTCTCAGGAAGTTCTCCAGCCTTTCATCTGCCTGGGGAATCTCAGCTTAGAAAACATTATCTGTTTATGTGTCTGATAGGTGTCACAGTGATTCTCATTCATTCCCCAAAGTGTCAGAAAAGCCTGTGAAGTAGTAATAATCAAGCTTCTTATTGCATTCCCAATATCAAAAATCAACTTAATTAAGTAGAGTTAATGTTTTTTTTTTTTCCTGAGCAGCAATCAAACTTTAATTAATATGCTATTAAAATGAATTCCTGGGGGAACACAAGTTGTAGACACCTAATGAGTTCATCTGCCAAGGGTGTTATTAGAGAAGATGTGAAATGTGCCTCCTTACTGGTCACTCAAGTTCAGAGTGGTCCACATTAATCAGAAAAGAAAAGCAATCACAGGTTTGCAGCCCTCCTCCTCTCTGTGGGGCCCCTCTGCCCTGCCAGCAACCTAGCTTAACCCTGCCCTCTTCTTTCTCTCCTTGGTGGAAGATGCAGGCTGGGATTTCAACCAGCTGGCTTCTGCCTGCATGGAGGGCACCTTGGTCCCCTTCTTCCACAGCAGGTCACCCCACGTTCAGGCAAAGTGAGGACCAACTTTAACATCCCCTCATCTAGACCTCGTTAAGAAGACTAAAGCCCCTGTTTAAAAAAAGAAAACAAAAACACAGAACACATTTGCAAACGATATGCTCCTTGCTGGTGACAAAGATGTCTGGTCCAAGTTCTGTAGGACTGGTTTCTGACAGAAGACAGCAACCGAGAGAAACTGGGTGTGAGGTTGGGAAAACGTCTGTGCATGCCTTATACTTTTGCTTGTGGTAACTATTTCTATATTAGGGATTCCCCGAATTTCTCCGGCTGCAGACTGAATGCTTAGCAGATACCCCAAACCACCTGTCTCCATGGCCCTCCCTTCCCCACTAGAGATGAGGGGATAAAATTTTGCCCCGTCTTAGTAGAGATCTAAAGGCAGGTTATCATGAGCAAACTGTTAATATCACTAAGGTGAGGACCTTAGGAACCTCCAGGCCACTCAGCACCCTGCTCGGACCTTGGGGGAATGTGTAACTAAGAAGTCTACCGGCCCCTGCCAGGGCTGAATGACCTGTCTCAGCACCTCTTACCTCTTTGGTGTGTGTGTGGAAGGAGACGGACATGTCCAGGAGAAGCTTCCGCTGCTCCACCCTGCGCACAAAGTCTTGGATGCGCACCTCCAGGTGTCGAGCTGCCTTGTAGATCTCCTCCGGGTCACATTCCCCCGTCTGAGCCAACTGCTCCGCTGCTTCTAGGAGCTTGTCTGCGTTGGTGTACGTGTTCTGCCAGCAACAACAGGGAGGCAAAGTCAACTTGCAGTCAGGAAACGAGCTTCGCGCCTTCCCGCAGCCCACCCGGGGGCTCCCCCGAGCTGGAGTTGAGGGGCGTAGGCGCGGAGCCGACAGCTCCCTGATCTGGCACGGTGGTGCTGTGCGCCGAGCTGGCACACTGCCTCGCAGCAAGCTAGCAGCCTTGCCCGCTGCTCGGCACAAGCGGGCACCAGCCAGGCGTCCCCTCTGCTCCTGGGACTTCTCAGAGGTGCAGGGTCCCTGCAAAGAAGTGGGGAGACCTGCAAGAATCTCCATGTCTCCCACCCTCACGGAGACCCATCCTCGTGCCTTCACATCTCAGACTGTAACTGCCAGAGTCGGAAATAGCATCCACAAAGATAGCCTGCCTGTGCTTCCACGTGAGAACACCAGGGAGACACGGAGAGACTTGCTTTGCTTTTCCCCAAGTTCCCTGTGAGCACTGGTGTTTATCTTTTGGAACAGAGCTATCTCGTTGGAGGGAAGGGGCCAGCACCTCCAGGGAGCTGACAGAAGAAAGACCACAGCTTGAGGGAGGAGATGCAGGCTATTCCATGAGAGCCCAGCAAGGGCTCTGTGTTTGCAGGAAGGCTGAGGAAGAGTCTGTTGATTCTGTTTATGATAAGCTACTGCAGGCACATGCACACACACACGCACCCACGCAGATTCCTCCAGTCCCTGTCTGTACACACCATGGCATCCTCCAGAGTATTCAGAAAGACAACCAACTAGTACTTATTAATCATCAAGATGGGGCTCACTCCTCTTTAAAAGACCTTGCTTATTCCCTGAGAGAGGGGAAACCCCCACAGTGTATTCACAACATGAGCCCCCCCACCCCCCCAGTCTCAGACAGCCTGGATCACAGACATGCTCAGGAAGGTCCTTAGATGCAAACCCAGGACCTTTTCCATGTGATCCAGTTGTGTTACCTCTGTACTACCACCTGGTCCCTCAATACTTTCTCGAGAGTTTTTATGGTTTATGTTATAGATACAACTTTACTTCAGCAGGCTTCTCTTTAAAGACTCTGATATACCCTGACTTAGAGCTGATGACTCAGGAGTGTGTCTGTATGTAATATACATAAAAAAAAAGTGTGTGTACATACACACACACAAATGTGTATAAAGTTTATTTATGCTATGAGTGAGAGAGACAGATACAGCACTCCTAATGGGGTCCTGATGTCTTGATCCACTCCCAGCCTCCCTGAAGATGGGCATGCATGTGCCTGTCATACTCGGGAGGTCTCTGGAGGGGAACCAGCAACCCTCCCATGTGGTGCTGCCTTGTAGAGCATCACACTACTGTTGTGCCACTGCCCAACCTCCATAGTTCTTAACATCCCTAGTTTCCCCTCTGGGGGAAACTAGTGTTTACTGTTGGCGACGTGAATCAGAAGCAGTCAGTATCAAACATGAAATGAGTGGAGGTTTGGAAGGGATTTGTGAGCAATGACCTACTATAAAGCCTTTGCTTTGCCTGTGCACAAGTGGCCACCACAAGTCCCTGGGGATCTCTGCATTCACCTGAGACATGAGTGCCACGGGCTAAATTGTATCCACTCCTCCAATTCACATGTTGAAGTCCTAACTCCAGCACTTCAAAACACGACTTCAGGGGAACCAGCAGTTAGCATAATGGCTACGTCGCTGGACTCCCACGTAGTCAACCGCGGTTCGCTTCCCAGACCCGGTGGCTTAGAACTCACGCTGGGCGCGTGTGCGTGTGTGCCCAAGATCCCGGGAGGAGAATGGAGGAGAAGGGATTGCGGCGTGACCATCCCCCCTGGGGGGTGATTTCTTGCTTTCTGTCTCTCTGTCTCTCTCTGTCTGTCTGGTGAGCGCACACGCTCTATAGTGAAAACCTCACAAAAACAAAAACAAAAACATGACTTTAGTTGGAAATAGGATAATTACAGATGTAATTGGTTACCTTAAGATAAAGTCGTATACCCCCAGTCCAATATGACTGGGGTCTTAATAAAAAGAATACCATGTGATAAGACAGACACACACAGGGAGATCTCCATGAAGATGAAGGCAGAGATTGGGAGATGTATCTACAAGACAAGGAATGGCAGACTACCAGTAAACCACAAGAAGTTAAGAGAAAGGCACAGGGCAGATTTCTCCCTCCTGTCCCTCAGAAAGATCCAACCAACTGACAGCTTGATCTGACTTCTAGTCTCTAAATTAAGTTTGCATGCTCACGCCATGCAGTCTGTGATGGTCTGTTGTCCAGTCTTTGGAAACACTAGAGTCAAACCTTTCAGAGTCTATTGACTCAGCCTCTTAGTTGTACTGGCACAGAATCTGGAGGAGAGGGACTGGCCATCAGCAAACACTTGTCATGGCTTGCTTTTAGAATTCAGAGAGAGGCCCTAGGGGTCCTTAAGGAATGCTGCCTGCTGCTGCCTGAAAAGCTACTGTCCAGGGAAAATGTCGGCCCAATGCTGGCCAGATGGCACAGAAAGGGAGAAAAAGTTGTTTGGCCTCAACTTGGAAATTCATGGAAAACAGAGCATCTCCCTGTGAGAAAAGAGGCTTTGCCACTGAGTTCAAGAAGAGCATGTTAACCCTGGAAGGCAAATGAAGGAAGTCATTTGGGTCATGAAGGAAACAGAGTAAGAGATGGGGCATGACAGGCAAGGGGAGACTTCTGGGTATAAGGTCAGGTTCAGGAAAGCTCCAATGGGGTTGTCTGCAATTTCTAGTAGAGATAAGCACAGCTGATGGGAGAGAGTTTCTCATTCAAATCTTCTACCATAAATCCTAGGGAATCTTGAGCTAGCTAGTCACATGGTAGATGACACAGCTGAATCCCACATGGTCAACCATGTGGTTCAAGTCCCAAACCTGGTGCATGCCTAAAATCCCAAAAGGAGAGAGAGATAGAGAAGAAAGAACTGCAATGTGATCATTCCCCATGGGAGTGCCTTCTCCTTTTTCCCCTCTTCCTGTCTCTCTTGTCTCTCTCCAGCAAGTGCATGTGCCCAGTGGAGGGGAAAAAAATCCAAAGGAATCTCGGGACTTTCCAAGGAAACCTAGAGATTGTAACTTTATATGTTCTAGACAATAAATAAAAACTTGTGGCAAAGTCAAACTCAGCAGCCTTGCAACTTAGGTTGTGACCAATAACACACAAATAAAAAAGCAAAACTCAAGTGACTGTTTTATGACCCACTTATCTGCCCTGACTTTACCACAGAAGTCCTGGGTCCCCAGACTCCTCAGTCTTGGAAAGATTGGGATGAATGTGTTCCCCCTAATATGCAACTAACCTTGCAAATCTCTCTCTTTTTTTTGGGGGGGGGAGGTTTGTACTATAATTGAGTGTCCTCCTCAGAAAGACAGAAAGACAGAAAGCGAGAAATCACCCCCCCCCTCCCCATGGGGGATGACCATGCCACAATCCCTTCTCCTGCATTCTTCTCTTGGGATCTTGGGCACTCACGCACACGCACCCAGCGTGAGTTTAAGCCACCAGGTCTGGGACTCAAAACTTGGTCGACTACATGGGAGTCCAGCGACATAGCCATTACACCAACTGTTGGTCCCAACTGTGTAAATATCTCAGAAGTACAAAAGTGTCTGCCTAAGAATAAATTCATTGTTGAGAGAAATAACATGACAACACATAAAATGGGGTAAGCAATATAATAAATAGTCAGGGGTTGAAGTTTTTTGACATGATGTAGGTGCTCAAAAGAAAATAAGTAAAAACTGGAAATAATTGCCAACAGATGTTGAGTAGTTTTCATATGCCAAGGCCTATTCTAAAGGCATTTACGCATACACTGTCCCCTTTAATCCACATAATAAGCCTCCGAAGTTGACACAGCCATCAGACCCATTCTACAGATGAATAAATTAAGGCATGAAGAATTTCTGGCAAGGTCATGTGACTAGCACATGGTAGAACTAGGAATAAAACTTTGTTACCTGGCTTCAAAGCCCAAGCCCTGAACCATTACAATACCTGCCTCTATACAGAATGTTGGCAGAAGTCTGAGGGTGGGTAAGATATAGTAGAAGAGGAGAGGTTCTCATAGACAGGATTCTCTTCTTGTTGGGCCTAGGGTACTCTATGTTTATCCCATACCACAGCCATTGCCACACTCCAGGGTAACCCCATGTCTCCCTGGTGTCTCCTACAGGACTGTGAGCTCCTTAAAGGCACATTCCAAGTCTTATTCACCGCTAGTTATTCACATGTCTGGCGCTGGGGCTGGTACACAACAGGCACTCACCAATGCTTGCTGCATGACCAAGACACAGAGATGAGAATGAGTGTGTGTGGCACGTATGAATAAGTTGAGTCAGCCTGACTAAAACTGGAGATTCCATTGGATAAGGCAGGGAAGAGCTAGACCACAGATTTTACAGAGAAAAAGAGAATGAAGGCAGTTGGGAGGGCAGTGGAGTGAGTAAAAATTGGGCTCCCTGCTTCAGCTGCACTTGGTCCTCCTCTCCATTACTACCAGAAAGACCTTCTCAAGTCCTGATCCAGTCACATTTCTTTTCTTAAAACTTGTGGCTTTCCACTGCCTCTGGAGCAAACACCTTGGCATGGAATGCAATGCCTTTCTTCATCTGGTACCTGCTTCCCCTTTCAGGTTCAACTCACGCCACTGTCCTACAAACAGGGTGTGAAATACATTGCTCGCATTTCCAGAAACTCATAGCACTGACGGTTGCCTCTCTCTGTGTCTACTCTTTTCCCTGAGATACCTTTCCCCTTGCTTTTCTACTTGACAAACTATTACTTACCTTTTAAGACTCTTCTTCCAGGAAGGCCACCTTCATACCCCCTTCCTAAGGCTGTCTTAGGTACCCTGCTCCAGGCTCCCAGAGTGACTGCATTGACAGCTTCCATGGTACCTGACATATTCTATGGGAATATTTACCTTTCATAGGCACAGATAATGTCTTTCATATTTTTCCCTTAGTGACTGGCACTGGACAAGT